AACAACTCATATTTTTGAATTTATTTTATTCCAACTGCTGATTTCCTGAATGCTTAGATTTTGTCAGTTTTGATTTAGGAAGTTTGTAAAGGTCATGCTGGTGTGTTTTTTAAGTATCTCGCAGTTTAGATGACTCATTAGATGAATCAAAACTGGACTTCTGGTCTTTTCTTTGTCCAATTAATTCACCAACACTCTACAAACACAGCAGGCATCATTAAATTTGTCTGCTGCTGTATTTTACTGACTACAGCTAGAACTTCATCAGTAGTCAAGTTTAAGTCTATTTATAATGCAGTGTTTTCTTAAAGATATACCATAAATCAATATATGTATTTTAGAGGGATATGATACTATCCATATTATAGTGATAAAAGACAGACATACATTGCAATTGGATAAATAAAATAAAATAAATAAAAACTAAAAGAAAATGAACCTGAAGTCTATGGGGACAATGACATGCAATTAAGCCTCAACTATATCCTAGAAATTGAGGAAAATGAACCATGCAAGAAAACTTTAGCTACATGTTCAAACATTTTTGGAAAACAGGTTACCAGCATTATATCACATTAAAGTACTAAAAAGAAACAAACAGCAAAATAATAAATAAAGAATACTTACGCCAGGGTGCCTCTTAGCATGCTCTACTGCTGTCCGAAACATCCTTCCCCACTTTATAGAAATGTAATGTATGAAATAAAATTATTCAGTCAATGTTTCAGGCCCTTATTTTCAACAACCACAAGCTTTGTACAACTGTGCAGAGATTTAGACCTGTTGCTCTCTGTACGAGGAGGGAGGAGAAGGAGGGGAGGAGGAGAAAGAGGTCATTTACATCTGATTACAGCTACTTCTGCTCCCTAGTTGGGCTGATTACACCGTGCTGGACACTGTGGAACAGTTTATATTCAAACGATAAGGTTTCATCCTTATGAATGTTTATTATTATCCAGGCCAGAGACATTTAATGCTCATATCAGGGTGTTCAATCAGAAGAAGTTGTGTAAAGCTCCTACAGAGAGCACAGAGGCTTTTTCTCCCTCACTCCCTTAACTGTAGTCTGAACACTTTTCAGCCCTTTGGGAGCTGACTGGAGGAAATGGAAAAGCATACAAACACTGTGTCCTTTTAAAGGCCACAGGGGGATTATCTATGTCTTCAGTTCATCATATCAGTAAACATATATACAGTACACATCCCAAAAAAACACAGTCACTTGAAAGCTGCTACAACAAAGAAAAAGAGAAAGACGCACACACGGGAATGACGCTCCTTGAGGTTGAAATGTTGCTGCCATCAAAGTATGGACCGTTGTTTTTGTGCAAGATTATTTTATTTCTCAATAGTGAAGTTAACCAAATGTTCAATAAACTATTGGTAAGAAAAAATAATGGCAAAGCTTATTAATGATACCAAAGACCGGCACAAAAGCCTGCTGTTGTTTCATGATGCATTCATGTGGCGTCTTTGTCAAAAGCACTCAGGCAAACTATCCCTTTTCTTCTAGTTAATGACTACTGGCTGATTATCTTGGCAACCAAAGTCAGGGACACTCCAAAACATAATTATGTACCACAGTCATCATCCCTTTGAAAACGTTTGCAAATGTGGCCACAAAGAGATCATTTTAGCAAGTGCATCAACATAGTTCAACCTGGAGAACATTAACTCTTAAAAAATGTAACATGAAAACATAACGTTGTTATCTTCACGTTAACACTAAAACTATTAGTTCATTTAGAACAGCTGAAAATTTAATCTTGTTCCATAATCTCTCTCAAACCCAAAATTGATTATATAAACCAAAAGGAAAACTTTCAACCAACAGAGATCTGTGCAACAATTCTTTCCTGCTACTGAAGATGTACTGTTGTGTTTTTCTTATGTTACTTATAGATACTGACAATAAAAAACACAGATAAAAACACACTGTGCTTTTGCTTGTAAAAGAAAACCTGCCAGTCTGTTTAAAGGGTCTGTGTCTCTGATTCATTGCACTCCAGTTTAATTTGGAAGTTAAAACAAATACAATTCAATTTGGCACATGAGTGCTTCACTTTCAACTTCACAGACGTCTCATTAGCTCCCAGGCACAGCACGTCTGTCCTAAGATAATAAAGCAGCTGTTAAGGTCACATGAACCTCCTCGGAAAAACATATATCTTCATAACTTATCTTTTTAGGTGACATATATGCTGTAAAGAAAACAGGAAATTTCTTGATCTTATGGAAAGTGCCAACCTTTAGATTAAATGAAAACACAATGATCAAAGCTGGAGCGAGGACGGTTTTTATAACAGCAAAAATTCATTATAATGACTTCATCAGCCTCAGACATGGTGTCTGCAGACAGTAATAAATCCCAGTTTTCCCAGTGTGTGTGTGTGTGTGTGTGTGTATTCAAGACCATTTAGCCAGGTGGACTATTCATTGGCCAAGTAACAAAAATAATCAGAGCACATTCAACCAGTGTTTCACAGCTGCTTCAAGGAGACACTTCATCCAAAATCTACCTTTCAGTATGAAACACCTGCTGTACCCCCTGTAGGCTCAAAAGGTGACTCTGAAAAGTTTGTAGTTGGATTCAAGTCAGTTACAAAGACTTGCAGTAGTAACACATTTTCACTGTGGTAGAAAAGTATTAAAATGTGTACAGGGAGTTCTCAACTGCCCCTGCAAAACACAATCAACTATTCTTCACCAAAGCAAATGCCCATTTTTAAAGTTAAATGCACTGCATCTGTATCTTTACTGAAACCCCCTCAGAAGTGGAAGACATATGGGGGACAACAGAGAAGTGGATTGTGTTGCAGAGATGATTTAACATGTTACTATGGATGTTTCTATGGTGCCTCTCAATATTTGAGTTTGTTGTCAGTGATATGAAGTCATGCTGACTCTGTTCCCTGCAAAGGAAACTTTTTATAGCCACTTTTCAAGACGACAGGGAGAGAGTGTTTATACTCATAATATTGTTCTTTCACCAGAACAACCAGGTCTGTTAGGGTCATTCAGTTAATAATGTTGATGCTGTTCCTGCTGATCTGTGAGTTTCTCAGTGAGAGATATACAGTGAGTTCCTCTGGTTGGACAGCAGCCAACATTTCTGTCAAAGAAAACTGAAGACGTGAGAAAACTGAGATGTTCGGCAGTATGTTACAACTCCAGTTTGGGAGTCAAGAAAGTAAAACTCTGAAGGGACTACAGGGTCTTAAAATGATTAATATTTACATATTTGATAATAAAACCGGTTGTATGATTAGTATGATCAGCACACAAATCAATAAAAATGATTATGTTATAGGCACTTAAGGAATCTTATTGATGTTATTAGCCCTGACTTTAGACACTAGATGGACAGCTGCCAAGCTGGACTGAATTCATACGTTATGTAATGAAATCAATCCCAAAGGACAAACAGAAATCAGACATGGATGCATTTCAGAGCATAATATAAATTTAGTTGAGAGAGATGTCACAGCTTCTCCCAGGAAGGCATCAACCCAAGAAGAAGATTTTTTAAAACAATTTGAGGCTTTTAGTGGTGCGAAGTAACTATGTCAATTTAGTATTGTACTTAGGTACAATTATGAGGTTTGATTTTCATTTCATGCTACTTTAAGTGAAAAACTGAAGGTATAGTTAGTTTACTTTTCAGGTTAAGATTTTAGATACAAAACCAGTACAAACCTGTATCTAAACTATATATGGTACATTAAACATGTAGCTATATAAAAAAGTTTAAATTAGCGATTATCTCTATCTTAAACAGTTGAACAACCTTTTATCAATTTATTTCATTTGTGATTAAATAATTGACAGAAGTGTGACAAACTGTAAGACATCAAGGAATGAGAAAAAAAGAGAAAGGGAGAGAAAACAAGACAGATGGTTAAAAAAAGTTAAAAAAAGTTTCTTTCATATTTTACTTGTAATGGATAATTTTTATGGTGTGATATTGTAAGCCTGGGCGCTAAAACAATAGCAATATATATAGGGAAATAGACATTTCATCAATAGCAATAACTGTTCAACAGGATATTGATAGTTGGACTTAAATGCTTTACATGCAAACTGCTATAAAAGCACATGACAAATACGCCCTGGATCATAAACAGTCTATTATATCCCTATAATGAAACATACTTTGAGTGAATGACAACCTGGGTGTCTTGATACATAAAGTGATTATTTAAATTCAAACTAAAGTTGTTCAATTTAAAGTAAAGTGGTTAAATTCAACCTTTTTTCCCCACATATTTTCATATGCAATGAGCTTCGAGCTACAACCACATTTCCACTCCCCTCTGTGACACTGCGAAGGTGCCTCTGATGAACTAGTCACTAGAAACAAAGGACATGAACCCTCACAGGCTTCCCACCCTCAAACACAAGCCATCTATATATTTTGCTCCTGTGCAGAGCGAAGAGAGACAGGAAGCATGGAGACAAATAGTGGGGTTGTCTCTAACAAGGGTTCTACTTGTCTTCACCTAAATGTTAACAGACAGGCTGCAAACGGGCTATTTTAAACTCTGTAACCATCAAGATCTCACTGTAAAAAATAAACCATTAAAATGCCTCCTTGTGCATCTGTCACACCTCTAACTCTGGGTCCTAATTTTCTCCTCGCCTATAACACAGACTGTGTGACACAAGCTGTTCCTGCTGACCTGCAACACAGGTAAATCCTCCTAATTGGACACTGGCCACCACTATGGCACAAACACAGTTCAATACAGCCCAAGCCTGTTTAAAAATACACAAGATCTGCACGGTATGCCTTGAGCTGCTCAATAGAGAATTTATTTAGAAACTCCACCTAATGATGAATTTTATTGGTGCAGTAATTTTGACGTATGCCAAGGTGGTGACAGTGCACACAACAGCGAGCAAGGGTTAGGTGAAAGCAGGTATGGATAAAAGTGGGCACTGCGATCCCCCGTCACGGATCACAGATCAGTGAACCTTCAGAGAATATTCACCTGCTGGTTTATGGCGTATAACAAACCAAAAGCCACTTAATGGCACCACTGTTAGCCGAACACAATGAGTATGTATCGTGATAAGGCAGAAAACTCCCATTATCCATTGTCCTTTCTGAGTTGCACCTGCAGTTGAACTTTTCTTTCTTTTCCTAAATATAATTAAGAAGTCTTGCAGAAATGTAGTGTAGCCATAGAAATAAATCCTGTTTACGTGCTTTTACACATAAAAGATTGCCTTGTTTTTCCCTTTTAATCCGTCTTGTTAAATTTGAGCCAATTACCTTGCAGTCACAGGCCTGCTTCGGCTGTGATTAGCCCCACTCTACTCTGCTGTGTGTGTGTGTGTTACTGCTGCTTGAGGAGAAACAGAACAAGAAGGCTGAGGGTTGGACCTTGAGCTGTGGTTTAACACAACATAATACTATTAGACCACAGAGGTCTGCTGGGTTAATAATGTGGATCAACATGGAACAGAAGAGTCTTCAGAGAGGTCAAAACCTATAGATTAGATGAGAGAGAACTCGACTCCAGATTATTATTATTATGGAGTATACAATATCTAGAACCAAAAGCTCTCGCAGTCTTGTGAACATTTTCTCTTCTTAAAGGTGGCAGCCCTGAGACCCTGCTGCTGTACCAGAAACCCACATCTATAAGAAAGTACTATTAAAGTGGTCAGTATAATTACATAGATCTGTTATAGTGAATATGTTGATAACAAAAAGCAATAGCTCTGTTACCACTGTAGGATTATGTGTTAATCGGCACCATCTAGTGGTGCAAAACCATATTGCAACACCTAATCATATGTTT